GTACCAACAAATAGTCCTGGGGCCTTTTCACTTCTTGTTCTTTTCCCCTAAGAGCTGGAGAATGTCACGCTGTGACACTATTAATTCACATCCTTTTTCCCTGCCTTGTTTCTGGGAGCCGTTTATGGGCTGGTGAAAATGGGGGCTGATAAATCCTACTTTTCCACGACAGCAGGTGCCTGGGTTAGTGTCTCTGGAGCTGCTCCTGGGCACAGATTTGCTCACAGTCATTGGTAGCACTGCTTCTGCAATGGGCTGGGAGCACTGCCTGCATCACGGGCTCCCTGGAGAAGGCAGCGTTTTGTAGATCCGCGACACGTCCCCACGGGTATGCAGCCCAGTCAGGGAGAGAGTGGAGGGATGGATCCAGCACTGGGATTCAGACTGCGGCTCTTTGCTTTGGAGTCATTCTAGGGTGCCACAGGAAAACACACCAGAATACCTCCCCAGAATGCCAGGACCAAATCTGCTGTCTCCATGGGAGATCTCTCAGCTCTCCAGATTTTATCCTGTGTTTAATTATTGCCATCTGCTATTCCATTCTCCAGAGGCTGCTTGGTCTATTTGGTGGCTATTGGTCTCTGGTTAAATCAGCCCCATCAGTTTTCCCTCGAGTGTGGACTCCCTGCTTATCTTCCTGGCCTCCTCGATGCTCTCATCCCCTTTGGTAGGGGATGGCTGTTCTCTTCCTTGCTTGCAATACTCCTTTGCATTCAACTTCACGGTTATGCCTTGCTAAAGCCCTTCCATTTTTAATTTTATTCATTATCTCATAATAACATCAACGTTTTTCCAGACTAGTGTTGTCCATAGAGTTTCGGAGGGCTCACAATGGGCTGCAGCATTTCCCAGTCTGTCATCACAGGGACACGGCACAGATTTAGCAGAAAGCCCTTTTCCAAAGCTTTTCTCTGTCATTTGACTTAAATGAGCGTGAAGAAGCACCCTAACAAAAATCCAAGAACGTTCAACAACCCAAACCCAAATTTCCAGATTAGTTAATGACACACTATCCACTTAGAAGTTAAAAAAGAAAATCCATGTGCCTATGATTAAATGAATCCTTCTTAAGGGTAGAACTTTACAGTTAAGCGTGTACAGCCATCTCTGTAATGTCTCCCCTGTCATAAACACACTGGGGCATTTCAGTTTTATTTGCCCTGCAGGAGAAATCCTGTTAAACAGCAATAGGAAGTGCATGTGCAGAAGTTGGGCTCAGGTTTGCCCGTTCTCATTATTTTACTCTGAGCTTTATGAACCTTGGAGCGTCTCGCAAAACGCCAGCTCCCCGACTGGCGCAATTACGAGAGAATCTCTGCGTTCATCTAGAAAATAATAGCACTGCCTCCTTGGTGGCTTCAGAGCAAAGTTAGAAGATGTGACATCCATGGGTTAAGAATGTAAGAAACATCCTGCAGGGTCAGCACGATGCTCCGTCCAGCCCAGGGTGCCATCTCTGGCCACAGCAGTGGGAGATGCTATTTCGGGAGAGTGCATGAGCATGGCTGCTTTCTGCTCCCCCTGCCTCCTCCAGCCAGCCCGGCTGTGTTAGAGATACAGGGGACATCCTTGCCTTAGGATGTGTTTATGGACCTGCTGTCCATGAATGAGTCTAATCGCTTTCTGAACCTGCTGACGCGGTCTGCCTCTGCAGCCTCGTGTGATAGCCAGCCCCCGCACTCCGGTCCCTGCTGGGTCGAGAAGTGCTTTCTGCTGTCTTAGCTTGATCTGCCTGCTCTGGCAGGCCCCTCCTGCCCTGATGCTGCGGGATTTGGTGACTAACTGCTCTGCCTTCGCCTCATCCACCGCCGTCGTGATTTTGTAAACCTCAAGTGTGTCCCCTTCAGCCATCTCCTCTCCAAAGTGATACCTCAGCCTTTTTACTCTCTTTCGGAGGAGGCCGCTCCATCCCCTGGATGATTGCAGTTACCTCTCTCTATAGCTGTGTCCTTCAAACCACAGTCCAGACGACAAATCATTACCTACCCAGCAGGCAAAGAGACAGAGCTCCAAAATCCTGCTTTTTTGGTGATGTGATTTGTTCACAGCCAGCTTTTGAGGGTGCGGGGATGATTGTTTCTGAGATGAGGAAAACAAAGCAGAATAGGGACATCATGAATTTTCAGAGTAACATTTAAATAGCAAAATACCTTTTTGTTGCACAGATGGCGTGGGGGCTTCAGCGGAGAAGCAGGCTGGATCCCAGAGCCAGGAGCACCTCGTGATCTGGCCTGTCCCACCTTGCTCCTGGCAGTCAGGTCTCATCCATGCAGTCGCCTTGCCTTGGCTGGGGCTGTGCCTGGGGCTGTATGGCCAATTTAGCACCTTCCTTCTTTCCTCTAAAACTTTTAGATCTGTGAGACCAGATCAAAGTAATGCTAAACCTTGGTAACACCATGCTAGAGAGAAGACCTAAAGCACCAAACCGTGCATGTGCCATCTGTCCTCCCCAATGGCCCATCCCCACAAGAAGGGACAGCTGTCCCTGGCCCAAAGCCCTCTCGAAGCCTTTGGCCATTCGCCTCCCATTAATGGCAAAGCAGTGATTATGGTGGGACTGGGAAAGGGCTCATCATTGCAAAGCACCTGCACATTCACTACGAAGCATTTGCACAGAGGTTGTTTTAACATCTCCTCTCTCCTCTTAATCCAGTAGCCTGGATTAAACTGGACCCACATGTTAATGGTGAGCATTGCCTCTCCCTGGCCCTGGTGATGTCTAATCCCAAACCAAGTGCCCAGGCAGCCCAGGCATCTGGACATGCCGGATCTGGGGTCGTGATGGGGACCAGCATATCTGACGTCATCCTCTTTGACAAACCCTCTGGTCCTGGGGCTGGGAGGAGAAAGTCTCTTTTCTGTTAGTTTTGTCTGGTGATCACTTTGCATCTTGCTTGCCGTCCTTCAGCTAGACTTTCACCTTCATCTCTTATGCAGAAAGGGCTTTAATTGTTAGTCGCTGCTTCCAGATTGTCTCCTGGCATTACAGAGCAGATAAAGCGAAGAGAAATTAGACATCCAGCTCCATCATTGTGTGCGTGTCATGCAGGGAAGGATCAGAGGAGCTGTGCCCAGTCCTCCTCGAGGGGCTCCCTGCTCTCAGCCAGATTCAGCAGG